TGGGTCCACAGGGCACTGTGGTAAATTAGAAGATATGTGCCCCACAGTGGGGGACAGCCCGACTCTGGCCAGCTGAGTGTTATGTTGAGAGAGCCCTATGTGGCCAGATACTGAGAGTTTCTAAGAAAACCTACAAGTCTGATTTTGGATATAAAATCTCCAAGTTTTAAATGTTGGCAGTGAATTCAGATATTGAAAAACCTGGTGTGGACCAAAACCAAACAAACAGAAAACAATGAGGACCATAGAGGGCTTCCTGTTTGAGTCTGGCCTACAGCCACAGTTGATCACTGCTGTCCCCAAGACTTCTTTTCCTGTGGGCTGGGCAGCCCCTTCCTCTTCAAACCATGTTTGTGTGGGTTGGTTTCCAGACTTCCCACTATTGTGGTCAGCTCCTTTGCATGTGTTTGAACATTGTTAAGCTCCCTCTTAGCCCAGGTCTGTCCCTGTCTTCTGGCAAACTCCTACTCATCCTTTGCACTCCAAATCACTTGTCCCCATTCTGCAGAGCTTTGCCTCATAACCCCAGGTAAACTGGCCATTCCGTTGTCTAGACGTGTGATGTTGGGTAAATGATTTAATCTCTCGGTGCTTCAGTTTCATTATCCGGAAAATGGGAATGCTAATAGTACCTACCTCACTAGGTTGTCAGGAAGGTTAAGTGGATTTATAGATAAGCAGACAGGAATTTCCTGGAAAGCAGAGCTGATCCCTGATCCATCTCTGAATCAGAGTTTGTCACAGAGTAGGTGTTCATTAAATGTTTGCTCAATGGAGGAAGTGGGGAGAAGTAAACATGTGGTCCATTAGCTCCCAGTGAGGTTTGACCATCATGATGATACTGTGTGGTTGTGCACTGAACTCTTTTGAACTACTTAATTCTAAAAAGGTGGCCACAATACCTATCTAAATCTAAAATTAAAAAACAAAACCAAGCAGTGACAACACCAAATGCTGGCAGAGAAATTGGATCACTCATTTTTTTACTGATGTGAATGAAAAATGGCTTCTTAAGAAAGTAGCACAGTTTCCCTATGACCTAACAAGTGCATTCTTGGGCATTTATCCCACAGAAATGAAAACATATGTTTGCACAAAAACTTGTACATGGAAGTAATAGCCAAAAACTGGAAACAACTCAGATACTCTTCATGGCACGTCCATAAAGTGGAATACTGTTCAGCAACAAAACGGAACGGACCACTGAAAAAGTGCAACAATTTGGATGAATTATCAAGGAAATGATGCTTTTCTTTTTTTAAATTGTGATTTGGGTGAAAATTTACAGAGCAGATTCATTTTCCATTCAGCAGTTCACACACATTTTATTTTCTGACAACAATTACAAGTCTCATAATGTAACATCTCTCTTCCTTCATTCTCTTTATGGTTGTTACTTTTTCCCGGTATCCTTCTTTCCTGTGCAATCCTGCCCTCTGAGCTGTCTCCCTCTGCAAATACTGCCCTTCTGATTTCACCTGATTGATTGTTTTAAGGAGTGTACCTACCTGGTGTAATTGTTCATCTTGAAGGCCTGTCAGTTGTTTGGCTGGAAGCCCCAGGAGTAACTTCAATTCCCTCCCCAAAGGGTAACTAGAGGCTATAGTTTCAGAGGTTTCACCAGACTCTATCAGATATAAGCCTGATCTTTTTCATGATTTTGAGTTTTGCTCCACATTTTTATTCCACTCTTTCCAGGATCTCCTATTCTGATCCTTTACTGAGTGGTTGACATTGGTAGCTGGGCACCATCTACTTCTGGTTTCAGGGTCATATAGGTTGAGGTCTGCATGGTCCACTAGTCCCTCGGGCTAATTGTTTCCACTGTCTTTCGTTTTCTCCATTCTTCTGTGCCCTGGATGAGGAGAGAACAATTGTTGCATCTTCAATGGTCACTTGTAAGCTTTAAAGACTCCAGTCACTATTCACCAAATTGGGATGTAGAACAATGTTTTTGTGTAGTATGTTATGTCAAGTGAACTTGACAAATGATGCTTTTTTTGGGGGGGAGCAGAAAGCCAATTCTGAAAGATTATCTACTGTATGACTGTATTTTTATAACATTGAATTAACAAAATTATAGAAATGGAGAGCAGATTATTGTTGTGTGCCATGGAGTCAATTCCAAGTCACAGACCCCCTGTGACAGGGCCAAACAGAGGTTTTTAGGCTATAATCTTTGTGGGAGCAAATCACCAGTGGCACCTGCAGAGCCACTGGGTGGGTTCAAACCATCAACCTTTCAGTTAACAGCCAAGCATGTAAATATTGTACCACCAGGGCTCCTTAGAGAACAGATATGTGGTTGCCAGAAGGTAGGGACGGGATGTGGCGGAGAAGAGTTAAGGAGGGAGAGACGGCTGTGGTTATAAAGGCAACACAAGGAATCCTTGTGATGATGTCACTGTTCGATATGTTGACTGTAGTGATACACGAACCTACACGTGGTAAATTTCATAAAACAAAGCACACAGATTAATACATGCAAAATTGGGGAAATATGAATAAGATTGGTAAACTCTATTACTGTCAGTTTCTTGGTTGTGATACTGTATAGTCACGGTTTTGTGATATTCAAGGTGTTACTGCTGGGTAAAAAGGGTTCACGAGATCTCTCTCTATTATTTCTTATAACTGCATGGGAAGGTACAATTATCTAAAAATAAAAAGTTTAATTAAAAATTTTGCAAGCCACTCAAAGCAAAAATTAAAAGACAGCCAAAGCTGGTTAGCTTGTTTCCTGCTGAAGTTCCCTGTTAGCTTATGTTTATGCTTGAGGTCAAGTGCGCTCAGACCCCTGGGGTTTTTATCCTGTGAGCGTCGCCAAGCCAACCCCCCTCCCCATTCTGCCTGTACCAAGTTACCCTCCAGTCTCAGAGCTAGCAAAGACTGTGGAGCGAGCTTACCTAAGCTGAACGTGGGCTTCCTGAGGGAGGTCATTCTGGGAGGCGGGAGTGAAGCAGGGGATCTGGGACATTGACAGTCACTTCCTGAAGCCCGGGGCAATCCTGGTCCCTTTGTGGTATCAGGGTTTCCATGTGACACATGTGTCCATGTGACACAGATGTAGACATGTGCCAGTCTTGCATCGCTACTCAACAACCCACAAGGATTCACCAGCCTTGCCTGCAACTTTCCCAGATACATTGCCTTTACATTTTCCTGCTCTCCCTCCCCCAAACTTGCTTCTCTTTCCTATTAAGTGTATAATTTTTTTGGTCAGGTCTTCTGACTCCTTGAACACTCTGTAAATGCTGACAGGTGGACAGGACATTTTACAGTTGGGAAAACTGAAACAGAGAGAGGTTCAAGTTACTATTCCAAGACCCTTTCCCTCTGCGTACCTGTACCGTCTAGGATGATAGGAAGATGGGGACAAATTGGCTACAGAATCTGAAATTTTGTTGATCTCTTGTTTTCTGAGAAACAAGAGATAAGATTTTTTAAAGGATATCCATAGTGGGAAACTTCAATGAAGCAAATAATGCAATAAAGCAAATCATGCATTTTTGGTTTCCCAGCGCATGTAAAAGAAGGAGCTCTGGTGACGTAGTGCCCGAGGCATTTGACTACTTACCAGAAGGCTGGCGGTTCAAACCCACCAGCCACTCTGCAGAAGGAACAGGGGGCAGTCTACTTCCATGAAGATTTACCATCTCGGAAACCCAGTGGGGGTTGCTACGAATCAACCTGGCAATGAGTTTGGTTTGTTTCTTTGGTTTGAGTTCCAGTAGTTCAGCAGTTAGCAAACTTCTTGGTGTTAGGACCTCTTTTTACACTTAAATTGAGAACCCCAAAGAGGTTTCTGTGGACTTAAAGTTTTTAAAAAATATTTTTGTTTATGTTTTGATTATAACTGTCAACACTTATCATGTTAGAAATTTAAAACATATTTGATATTCTTTTCAAAAAACAATAAATCCATTATGTTGTAACAACATATAACATATATTTAAGAGATTATGTTATTAAAATATAGTATTTATATAATATATAACTTTTTTTTTGGGGGGGGGGAATAGCTTTTGTTTTTCCAAACAAAAAATCAGTGAGAAGAGTTTTAAAATTTTGCAAGTTTCTTTAGCGTCTGGCTTAACGGGAGATGTCTGTATTCTCATATCTGCTTTTTATTTAATTGCTACAATATCACTTGGCATATACCTTCAGGAACCACTTGTGAGATAATGAGGTTGGAAAGGTTAATAATAACTTAATACAGTTATGAAAATAGTTTTGTCCTTGTGGAATGTCCTGAAAGAGTCTCAGGGATTCCCCTGCAGAGTCGCTGGACCACACTGAGAACCACTGCCATAGTGTTTTATCTGCTGGTCCCTTCCCAGTCCTGCCCCTACCATCTCTATAACCACTTGCATTCTGTAATGAGCAGAATAAAAGGAGCCTGAGCAGAAATGTCAGGTGTTCTTATTTCTGAGGACTTGGCTTCTGTTTGATGGTCATATAGTCACCAGCCTCTCTGGGGTCTGTATCCCCACTGTCCCTTCTAGTTCTGGCACCCACATACCCAACTCCTTAAAGTACATGGGGTTTATTTACATCAGGAAGCAGGAAGGACAAGGCTCCTGTTAATATCTCTGAACTTTCTGCAATGATGGAAATGCACTTTGTGTGTGCTTTCTGCTACAGTAGCCACCAGACTGACCAGACCATTGTACGCTAATGATGTAGCTAATGCAATTGACACGTTGAATTTTTAATTATTTAAAAATTAAAATAGCCACTATCAACACACCCACACTTTGGGGGCCTTCCAGGCTACTCCAAGTCCCTAGAGCTAAAGAAAGCCTCAGTACAGTTTTGAAATGGGGCAGAGTGAGGTAGTCGTATTCGAGGTTTTAGGCCTGAGAGTCATGTCCATCTGTGTCTCTTTCCTGCCTGCAGGCCCCACCATGAGGCCCCATCCCCACAGGAGCCCCTGCGCTCCCCTGGCCCTCGAAGCACCGTGCTAGCCCGTGGCCAGGGCGTGGTGAGGCACGGTGGCAATGGCCAGCCACGTGGACCTGCTGACGGAGCTGCAGCTGCTGGAGAAGGTGCCCACTCTGGAGCGGCTGCGTGCTGCTCAGAAGCGCCGGGCCCAGCAGCTGAAGAAGTGGGCACAGTATGAGCAGGACCTGCAGCACCGCAAGCGCAAACACGAGCGGAAGCGCAGCACGGGCGGTCGGCGCAAGAAAGTCTCCTTCGAGGCCAGCGTGGCGCTGCTGGAGGCTTCACTGAGGAACGACGCTGAGGAAGGTAGGCCTCTTCCCTTCTTCCTCTGCTGCGGGACGGCTTGGGCCTCGGGAGCCTCTTGCTCCGCGTGGACTCCAGTTCTGTGCAGTACAAGTATGTACCTCGGGTCTGCAGACCCTCTTTTAAGTTTAGGCCCTTTGGAGGAAGGAGATGGCCATAGAATTTATCTTAGAGCGTTTTGGAAACAAATATTCCAGGTTTCTGCAATGCGCACTGTAATAATTTTCCTTCCATTCCACAAATATTTACTGACAACCAACTACTTGCCCATTAATGTTATAGATGCAAGAATACGGTGGTGAACTAGTTGGATCTGGTTTCTTTCCTGTGGGCTCAATACTCATAGGATCTTGCGTTTCTTAAGCCCCTCCTCTGTGCCAGGCCCCATGCATGGTGTCTCTGTCATTCTGTTTTATTTGACTTTCTCTGTGGTCATAAATAGTTGCCCTGGTGGTGCAGAAGTTAAAGCACTGGACAGCTGACCAGAAGGTTGGCGGTTTGAACCCATTAGCCTGCTCCACGGGAGAAGGAATGAAGCAGCCTGCTTCCATGATGATTTCAGCCTTGGAAACCCTAGGGGGGCATTTCTACCCTGTGCCGTAAGGGTGCTATGAGTCAGGATGGACTTGATGGCAATGGTTTTTTAAAAGGTAAAGTGGTATATGGTTGTGGTTCAGGGCATAGACTCCAAAGTTGGACTACCTAGGTCTAGAACCACCTTAGCCACTTAACTCCGTATGTGATCACAGCAAATAGGCAAGTCACTTTGGCTCTTCTACCTTAGTTCCACATCTGTAAAATGGGGACAAATAATAGTATCTTCCTCAGGGGCTTGCTGTAAACCTTATATTAGATAATACCTGTGAAGTTCCTAGACTTGGTTCCTCATAGTAACTGGTTATTAGTGTGTTTTATTATATTATCTCTGATGGCATAGTGGATAAGTCATTTGGCTGCTAACCAGAAGGTCAGCAGTTCAAACCCTCCAGCTGCTTCGCAGAAAGAAGATGGGGTGATCTACTTCTGTAAAGATTCACAGCCTCAGAAACCCAGTGGGGGTCGCTATGAGTCAGAATCGACTCAATGGCAGTGACTTTTTTTGTTTGTCTTTTGTATTTTATTTCATGTATATTATTATAAGGGTGCCCATAAATTCTAGGAACATAGACAAATATATACAGTGTTATTGAGGACATCTTTAATTTGTGAAATGAATGAATGAATATGAACACATAGAGAGCCCTGGTGGCAAAATGGTTAAGCTCTTGACTGCTAACCAGAAGGTTGGTAGTTCAGACCCAGTCAGCAACTCGTCAGGAAAAAGACCTGGTGAGGCACTCCTGGAAAGATTACAGCCTGGAACACCCTAAGGGCACTTCAGCTCCGTCACATGGGGTTGCTGTGACTTGGAGCCGACTAGATGGCCACTCACAACAATGCAGATCCATAATCTGTGTTTCCAAATTTTATGGTTACTCTGTATTGTTATATTAAATTAAATTATATTATTATGGTATATCCTATGATCCAGATACAAAGACACCCAAGCAGCATGTACCAGCATGCCTCTGAAATATTGCACATTGAGTTCCAGACCACTGCAATAAAGCAAATAGCGCAATAAAGGAATTCATGCATTGTTGGTTTCCCAGTTCGTGTAAAACAAGGAGCTCTGGTGGTGTAATGCCTAAGGCATTTGGCTGCTAACCAGAAGGCTGGCGGTTCAATCCCCCCAGCCACTCTGCAGAAGGAAGACAGGGCAGTCTATTTCCATGAAGATTTACTGCCTCGGAAACCCAGTGGAGATCACTATGAGTTGGAATTGACCCGCTGGCAGTGGGTTGGGTTTGGTTAGTGCATATGACAGTTACGTTTGCACTGTGTTGTATGTAGTCTACTCAGTGTACAGTAAGTAGCATTTTTAAAAACCTTGAAATACTTTGAGAATTACCAAAATGTGACCCAGAGATGCAAAGTGAGCACATGCTATTGGAAAAATGGCATTGATATAGACTTGCTGGACGCAGGGTTGCCACAAACTTCAATTTGTAAAAAAAAAAAAAAAAGCAGTATCTGTGAAGCACAATAAATGAACTATGCCTGTGTAAATAGCGACACTCTTTTCATAGATGAGGAAAGAGACTCAGAGAGGCTCAGTACCTTGACCCCAGGTCTAAGCTGTCATCATGACCCTCATGACCTCGTGGGTTTGCTTCCTGGGTGAAAATGAGTGGAAAGCCCGTAGGATGGCCAGTGCCCGCTTCTCTCTTTGCTCTGAGGGGCTCGTGCCTGCTCATGGCACAGCCGAGATTTGTTCAGGAGTCCTGTGTTTCCCTCAGCAACCTCTGGTCTAAGTGAGTACTAATTCTTTCTTCCCAGGAGGGGCCTAGCCATGTTTCCTGGGTCCCTCTGCTGTCCTTCCTCCACATATCTAGGACATCTAAAGCAGTCAGTAAAAGAACAGAGGGGTGGGAGCACTTACAGCTCAAGAAGGTGTTCGGTTTTAGGCACATTGCTGTTCAGCTTCTAGAACCTTCTCAGAAGCGCAATTCCATTTTCACCCTGGTAAGGGAGGGCTTTAGGAAATGAGCAGAGAGCCATTTCCAGCACCACTCAGCTTGAAACAGCCCCACTGAGAGCCTAAGGTGAGCGGCCCCCACCAGAGAGGCATGAAGTCTCAGGCTCAGGGGACACGGCCTGTGAGTCTCCTACCCCCGTGTGACTTGCCAAGTGACGTGGCAGCCCCATCCCACTCCGTGGGCGGCACATCATGATGTCTATCTAATCTTTGTCGGGGGCGGCGGTTTATCAGTTCTTCTCTCACCACTCATATTTTACTCACTTCTCCCTGACAGAGCCCCGTCTCCCCTCCCTGCAGGTGCTTTGCAGAGACTCTGTGAGCCGCCTGTGCTGCTTCAGGACACCTACCTGGGTGCGGCCTCCCACCAGCCTCCTGCTCGGGCTGCACCCACTGAAGTGTGTCATGGGCCCTGCTAGAAGGCACACTGGGCTTGGAGTCCCAAGGCCCAGTGTCATTTCAGCCCTGCTCTGTGACCTCCAGTACCTTGTTTCTTCTCTCTGGGTTGAGTCTCAGTCTACAAAATGGGGTTTTGAATGCTTGCCCTCAAGGGGGTGTGACAAGGGTGAGACAAGATCTTGGATGTGACAGCTCTTTGAAAAGTTACCCTGAACCCAGCACGAGCACAGTGATCATGTCGCTAACAAACTTTTCCTCTGTATTTATTTAGTGGATTTTGTTTAATGTTTCTAAGAACCCTAATAATATAGAAACATATTCTTGATGAAGAAATCCAACAACATAGAAGTGTACAGAGTGGGCAGTCTCTCCTCATGCTGCCTTCCTTCCTGTGGGACAGTGGTTAAGCCCTTGGCTGCTAACGGAGAGATTGACAGTTCTAACCCACCGAGCAGGCCTGTGGGGGAAAGACCCGTCCATATGCTCCTGTGAAGGTGACAGCCTAGAAAACCCTATGAGGCAGTTCTCCTGTGTCACAGGGTTCACTATGAGCTAGCATCGGCTGGACAGCACGTGACAACTGCTTTTAGTTTGGAGTGTTTCCATCCAGGTATTTTTCTCATTTACCTGTGTATTTGTGGTCTCAGAGAAGTAGAGAGCCATGTTTCCTTTTTTTTTTTTCTTTTTAAGGAGCTGTGGTGGCACAGTGGTTAAAGTGTTCGGCTGATAACTAAAGGGTTGGTGGTTTGAACCCATCAGCCACTCTGAGGGAGAATGATGAGGCAGTCTGTTTCAGTAAAGATTTACAGTCTTATGGTACAACCATTGTGGAAAGCAATATGGCGATTCCTTCAAAAGTTGGAATTAGAAATACCATTTGACCCAGCCATCCCATTACTAGGTATACCTTAAAGAAGTGAGAGCCATGACAAGAACAGATATATGCACACCCATGTTCATCGCAGCACTATTTACAATAGCCAAAACATGGAAACAACCTAGATGT